CTCGCCGCCGGGTGCCGGTGCAGCGCTGAGCTGCCTCCCTCGCTCCTCGCACACGCAGCCTCCAGCAATTTCGGTGTTGATACTGCACAGCGACTGATTACTGGGGAAAAATGAAATCAATAAATTAAAAACAAACAAACAAAATCACTGATGCCCCTTTCCTGCCAGCCTGTGTCCAATCCTTGCTTTGGGGGGGAAGTGTCCCACACTTAGCAGCGATGATTTCCTTCCTTTTATTGCACCGGTGTAGTGAAACAAAACTTCCTTTTGTTCATTTTTCATTCAGGGAGGGAGGCAGGAGGAGGGTGGCGCAGCCCTTGCGCTGTCTCTGCTACAAGCAAGCGCCGAGACCAGACGCGCCAGGGCAGATGCAGGGGCACCGTCCTAGGGTCCAGACACGGGCGTGGGCCTGAAAGAGGCCACATAGAAAGGGGGTTTGAAAATGGTATTTTCCCCCCGTTGTCCCAATATTACGATCGTTATCTGTGGCAAAGCAGGGCCCGATACTAAAAGTTCGCCCAGGAGTCTAGGTACAGAGCTGACCGTCCTCGGCTGCGGGAAGCTTCCAGGCCACTTCGCGTAGAGCGTGGAAATGAAGGTTGTGGGCTCCCCTTTTTGAGTCTTAGCAGATTTAACCATCTCATCATGCAGCAAAATGAGCAGTGGCCTGAAGAAGCGTCCACAGGCTGAAACAAGGGAGGTGAAGCAGGTGGCAGCAAAACGAATGGGGACTGAGAAACACATGGAGTTGGGGCGGGTGTCTTCAAGCAGTGTTTCTCCACCTGTGGGTCCTCACCCAAAAGTCAGCTGCAAGAATGTATGAAAGGGTTTTTTAAAAGAGGATCAATAGGCTTGAAAAATGGTTTCTCCTTTAAAAAGAAGAAAAATGTGATAAACTGACTTTGCCTTTGCAGGCTGCCAGAGTTTCAGCCTACAAAGGGCTGCTTGAGCCCCACGTACCTCATACATACTCCCTTCCTCACATACTGGCGGGGGCCAAGACCAGTGGATCCAGAGTGTGGGGCTCTGGGTTGGGACTGGCCTTCGAGGTTTAAAAATGGGTCCTTGTACAAAAAAAGGTTGAGAACCTCTGTCTTAAAGGACAGGCATCGGTAACTATTGAGCACGGGAGTTAGGGAGACAGTCTCTGAATCAGAACTTCTTGGACTTTAAATGCTGGAGGCTGCAAGTGAGAGAGGAACAGTGGGGAAAACCCCTGTTCTCTCTCCCCGTCAGCATCTGCTCTCTGCCACTAGGTACAGGGGACTTGCCAAAATGAACTTATGGTCCGACCCAGTAAATGGCAATTCTAACCATGTAGCCTTTCCATCCCACAGCCTTGCCTACCGTATGAATACTGTCTCCTGTTAGACCACGAGATGTCACCGTTGCTCTGCAAAAGTCAGCCAGACCCTGCAGCTTTTGTTGTCCCTGGAAAATAAAATGTCAAAATGGCCGTGAGGAGTCTGCGGTGTGTCTGCCGCCCAGCCCAGCTCATCCGCAATGCCAAGGCAAGCAAGGGTTTGTTTCGCTTTTTACAGGAACGGGTTCTTAACACAGATCTAAAAAACCTACTAAGCTGCTCCCTTTTCAGGTATGAGTATTATGAGACCTCTTCCTAGCGCCTTAAAGTCACTGACTCCATGGAACACAATCACATAGTTCACCAGGGCAAGCAGGGAGATCTGAACCTGGCCCTTGAAAGGTAACAGAGAGGCAGAAAGTTTTCCACTAGTTTCAGTTTCCAGCCTGAACTGCTTACTTATATATATACTGTACTTCTCTTCTCTTCCTGTGGCAGGCCACGCAAGGTATTTCCTGTCCCTAGGCCTATGCAACCTGCCAACTCCAGGGGAGTGGTACATGTGCAGTACATGGTTTTGTGACACGCCAAATGTTTCAGGACTGCATAAAATGATAACATTAAAACATAAAGTGGAATCCTGGATTGAATGCATTTACTGGTCTTCTGTTACACTCCATGCAAGCTATTTTTTTTTTTTAAATGCTGAAATCTGCTGCTACATTTCTTGTCCACCACATGAGAACTAGGTCTCATTTGCCACAGAGTTCTGGCTGCAGAATCCTCACCTTAGTTAGCTAACTTATTCATGTTCAAGGGTTCTTGTAAAAGGCTAGAAACCAGATAGTTAAAGATATTTAAGCAATTAATGCCTGTGGAAATTAGGGTGAATAAAAAGCTATTTTGGTTGATTTTTAACTTTGAATTAAACATTCTCAAAAAAACCCAACATATTTAGCATTAACATTGAAACTATGGTCCCACATAAAGTATTAAATCCATTTGAATCAAAAAAGTATGATATTCAGTCTACCTTTGCGGCTGAAGTTTAAAAAAAACCCCACTGAAATGAGGGAATTCATTGATGAAGCAGCCAGAATCTGAGTTTGCAGCAGTCATAAACCATCCTTCAAAGAACTGCACAACTCAGTAGCTCTTTTTACCCATCCAGTTATTGTTGCTGCACGCACAAAGTGGGTACTCACATATGCACAGGAGCAGAATTGGCCACTGGCGTGCACACATGCTCAAACTATAAGCACAGCTGCATTAACAATGTAAGCATATGTTTATGAATGTGTGAATGCACATTTCCACGGCTACATCACTCTATTAAATGAATTTCTGTTTGAGAGGGTTCCCATTCTTTCTTCCCCAACTGTCTTTTTCTTCCTATGAATTTCTTGATCTGCTTCTGATGGCATTTTTCCTTCTCCTGTTGTTGCTTACAGAAGTTTTCTGGAGGGAGGAGGTTATCTAACTTTAGTTTCCCCAACTGGCAATCAGAAAGCTAAGGCACGTGAAGATTCAGCCAATTACTTTGGGCTTTCTCATGCTGGGTTTCACAAGTCTTAGTAAGATGGACTTAACAAACCTCAAGTGATCCCATACTCCGAGGAAATAAAGAATAATATTTTTCAGTTGATACATAAGCAACTTTTAATAATGCCCTGTTACTTAAAAAAAACAACAACTAGCCCTACAACATAGTACATTAGCATCATCAGTATATATTATCACTATGGCACTTGAGAAAACCTCTCTGGTAACTTCAGCTATGATCCACACCCCACTGAACTCAGTGGAAAACCTCCCATTTAGCTTCAGAGGCCTTTTGATCAGGGTCTGACCCATGAATAAATACTGAAGTTACAATTACAGTATAATGAATGTCGGTTGCAGTTCTGAATTCTTCTCTGGGCATACCTTTGCCGCTCTTCCTTATTTGTTAAGAGGTTTAGCTAGCCTTAGTAGTCTTCTTTATTTTTAGCTGCTTGGAATATATACACACTGAAGGGTTCTGGCTACAGGTGCATTCTGGTAACAAAAGACAAATACACTTTTTTAATCACCAGTATTATTTCAGTGCTGTGTACTGTTGTGCAAACATGGAAAAATTAATTGGGCGTGGTTTGGTTGACTGTTTTTGAAAAGAGTCTGAGGCAAATTTAATTTTATGTGATAGAATAACAGGTGAAAGAAGAACTAAAGGAAGTACAGTGACTAGTGCCAGGGATTACGTATTCAGACCATTTCTTCATGCTTGTGTACTGGGCAGATCTACCCGCTTTTGGAGGTGAAACACTGAAATCATTTTTATGAATAATAACTCATTGGTCATAAATCTACCTAAATTAAAAGGCTCCCCCACCTTTTGCCTCTGTTGCTGCCACCTCCTCCTTTCTGTCTGTCTGCTTCTCTCTGTCCTGCTGATCTACAGCCCTGACGTGCCCCCAGCGTCAGCTTCCTCTGCCTCTCAGCTCACTCAGAAGATGCAAAGCAGCTTGGGTGCAAATCAGCAGACTGATTTCCTCCACACAGGTTTTCTTCTCTCCTCCATGTCTGCCATCTCTTAGCTGAATAACTCAACTTTCCGTGCCTACAATTCTAGTGGTTTCTTTGGTACTTTTGATTCTGTCCTCACACTTCCCCGTTTCTTTCTGTACAGCAGCTTACCATTTCCTTCTTACTGAAATAATACATGACCTTCCTTCTCCCTGCAGCTCACCTTCCCTAGCCCCTTCACTTGCACCTGTGACCCCTATCTCACTCCATTTCCTTCCTGGCCTTTTGGCTCAGGCCAGCCTCTTATGGGCTAAGATCAAGTCGGGGTATCTGAATCCCAAGATCTCCAGGCTTGGGTCTGCACATAGGATGCCTGCTAATGGATTTGGGAGTATCTGAAGTCCCAGGGTGAGGGCCTGGGGTGGGGGGTGCCGGTTGCAGCACCATACATGGCATTTAGAATGACTGACTTCTGCCTGCTCAGTTGATCTGTTTTTTGGAACAGTTGAGTTCTGCTCAATTTATATGATTTGAACCAGTTTGGCCGGTTATTTGACCTGGAACATGAAATATATTAATAAAAAAAAAAATCCCATTCCATTTCCTGATCTCCCACAAGCTAGTCTTGTCCCCTCCCTTATTCTTCTTCTCAGTGTCTCATTCTCTTCTGGCTCTACCCCATTGTGATAGTCTCTCCCGCCTTAAAAAAAATCCACTTATGCCCATAGGTGCCTCTCCTGCTAATGCCTCTTGCCATCCCCAAGCTCAGTAAACCCCTTGTTTATGGCTACTTTTTGGAATGCCTCCCCTTCACTTCCATCCTAGTCTCTCTGCAGCCTGGTTTCACCCCTTCCGTTCAACTGAAACCCCCTTTTCCCATCTCTAAATTTAGAAACATTTCTCTGTCTTTACCCTGACATGTCAGTCACCTTCAACACCTTCAGCCAGGCTCTTGAAATCTTGCCCTTCCTTGGCTTCTGTCTTCTCCTTGTCCTCTTCATCCATTTCTAATAATTTGATCCTTTGGAAGTTTGGAGGATCCTCCACATCTCTCCTACATCTTTCTGTGAGGTCGCAAAGGGTTCTCTCCCTCTCTCTCTCGCATTAACAGGCTCGCTCTCTCTCTCTCT